AAGTTAACTCCACAGTCAGTCACACAGGAACTAATTGTTATAGGAAATCTGGGGGAAGGGAGCTATCTTTTTGTTCATATGGTGCCGAGGATCAAACCACAGTCCTTGCACTTGCCCAAGCCTTCCTTCCTCAGCAGGCGCTTTAGACCACTGAGCCATCTTGCCAGCCAACAGGAGCTATCCTGAACAGAAATTACTGGCTCTACCATCTCAGTTCCTTTTGGAGATACTCAACAGTCAGCAATCCACTTTCTTCCCCCACCTGGGTTTTCTGAGAGGGGGGTCTCGCTAGCCTCATGCTCACAATCCCGCTGCAGCCTCCCAAGTGCCGGGATTATGGCTGTGCACCACTGTGCAGCCAATTCACTTCTGTCGCGTAGAACTACCATTCAAACTGAAATAAAGTGAACAGAAAAGTAGGCAGCAATTAATCTAGAAACACCGTAACTGTGCAATCAGGAAGCACCCTTCTTGCGGGCTGCAAGAGGTCAATCTCAGATGTTACTGCCCAGTCTAGATACTGTGATCTAGCCAGACTCCAGTGTGTGGAAGACGAACGCAGCTCTCCTAGCATACCTTTGTATAACATCCACACGATGATAAGCCCATTTTGGTCGCTGGTGGTCAGCTTCTGATACTGCTCATTCCATGTCACCACTTGTACAGAACCTAGAAAATCAGGAAACAATTTACAAACTTAAAAAGGGAAACAATTAATTTTAAATTTGTATCTTCATATAAATAAACACCTAGCCAGGGACATAGCTCAGCAGCATAAACGCCTGCCTGGCAAGGGCGTAGTCCTGAGTTCGATCCTTAGTACCAAAATTAAATAAACTAAATAAATAAAAACTAGAGCACTGATACAGCTCAAGTGCATCAATCTTTCATATTAAAATTTAAAAATATGAATACCAAAAATACTTATAGGATATGTATTCAGTGAGATCACAATGCCTCAGACTCTTCCGGATCTACCTCATTTCATAGTTAGTAGGGTACCTCTTATCGGCAGCTGCAAGAGCTACCACAGATCTGATGATAAAAATAAATATGGGCAAGATTTATTGAACTCACTTGGTTCTCCAAAGTAATGACGTCCAAAAGGCACTAAGTTGTCCTTTTGGCTTTCTGTCTGTTTTGGTTGCTACATCCTATCATCTGTCCTCCCTCTGCTGCACCATTTTCTACCTTATCAGTGAGACACTCCGAAGTATATCTTATACCTCTGAATTACATACATAATTAACCCCCCTACCCTTGTACTGGGGAATGAACCCAGAGCCTTGGGTTTGAATTACATCCCCAGCCTTTTTCTATTTTTTATTTTGAGACAGAGTCTCACTAAGTCAGTAAATTACCTGACCAAGGCTAGAACTTGTGATCCTCCTGTCTTAGCCTCCCAGAGTGCTAGGATTATAGGTGTGTACCACCAGGCCCAGCTTTCTTCTAGTAACCATTATTTCTAAATACTTAAGTGTATATTCCTACGGACATTCTCTTTCATAGCCATGTGACAAACTATGAAATTTAACATGTATAAAATATTATCATCGAACAGAGTCCACTCAGATTTTATCAGCTGTCTAAGCAGTATCCTTCATAGATACTGTACTTGTTCAGCTCATGCAGGCTCTCATCTAAGACCAGAGCACTGGACTCAGTGTTACTGATATTTCTTCAGTCTCCTTTAGTCTGCAGTCACAGCACAGACTTTTTAAAAAGATTTTTAAATATATAAAATAACAGTTACATTTTTCAGATTTATGGAAGACATTGTTGAGTCCTAGTAAAGTTGATGAATGACTGCAGGCCAGTGATGGCGAATCTTTTAGAGCTTTCAATGATAACACACACCAGAGGTTCGCCACCACTGCTCTAGCCTTGTTAGCCATGGGTCAACAGAATGATTAAACACTATAGCTATGTTAAGTGTTGATATTTCTCAATGCATAAGTACTTCTCAAAAATGATTCAAAAGATTGCATCACTCACCACTATGACCTTCAAGGGTCTGATTCATGGAAAGGTTACTGGGTGCTGCAAGACCTCTCAATTTTGCATCATCTAAAACAAAACAAAGCACTATGATAAACATATGAAAATGATATAGATTTTGATATACACTTCTTTTTTTGTATACCTGGTAGATATTAGAATAGTTTTCAAAAATATGTCTCATTCTGATCTCTTGAATAAGCATACCCTCTTCAAAGATGTTACTCAAATAAAATAAAGCAAAATGCAAAAAAGAACACTCATTCTACTTGGTGTAATACACTTGCTATGTTAAATATACAAACAATCATCATTGCTGCATATTTCCTTCTTCCCAAAAGATCCCATCAGCAGTGTCTGTGGCACATAGAGTGATAGCACTAAAGCTTATGAGAGCCCAAACAGCAAAGATTATGGAAATAGGTTTACTAGGCTTCACAGACCATACATCTATTCATTCTATAATTACCTATCCGACACACACTGTTCTAGGCACTGTGGAAGATTCCATATACAGAATGAATGACATGGTCATTATCTCTCTTTCCTCAGAGAGCTTGAAGTCTATGGGGCAGACATAAGTGTCATTCAAAGCTGAGAAGCAAAGGCATAACAAGAAACCACTACAGAGGGGCTTAATTCAGACTAAAGGAAGCCCAGGAAGGCTTTCTGAAGAAATGATATTCAAGCTGAGCTGAGACGGCATGGCAATGGGGTAAAGGGGGTGCACTCTAGGCTGGCAAACAGCAAATGCTGAGGCCCTGGCTCTTGGAAGGACCAAGAGAAAGTCTCTGTGGGTGAAAACCAGGGAGGGAATTGCCTCAGATGAGGTGAGAGTGATAGGCACTGTTCTGTGTTTTTAAATGTTTAACAGGACCTAGGCTCTCTGAAGCAGTGAGGAAGGAGCCCCGTCTCTTCACCTGTGTATGTACTCCCAAATCATTGTTCTGCACAGCAGAGGATTTTCTTTCCACAAGATAAGATACTCTTGAAAAAATAAATGCTGACAGGTAAAAGTAACTGACTTTGAAATTCACCCTGAAATACTGATCAAATGTCACCCAATTCTGATCATGTCTCTTGCACAGCTTAGTAGTACAAAGAACATTCATAACATCCACCTAAAAGTTCTCAGATATAAAAAAAAGTCAAATGTCTTAAATTAGTTTTAATACTTCCAGAAATATTCCAAGATTTTACCTAGTTACATTACAAAGCCTCACACAGCCAGTAAGAAAACAAAACCAAACTGGCATGAGAACAAAAATCTGGTAATACTGACGTGAAACTGCTAATAGCACCTACCCATAATCCTTGGATTTAAAAAGCCTGGTGAAAAAAATTGCCAAAAAAAAAAAGAATTTTTAATCCAGGAAGACAATTTCAAAATGAAATCACTAGTTCCCACAATTCAAGTACCTCAAAAGTCCAAAGAAGTAATTAAAAAGATTAAGGTATATTAAAGTGACAAAAAATGAAGGATAGAATGTACGAGAATGAGATTCTGCTCAGATGACTCAAAAATTACTCACAGATTCTAAAATGGGTGAAGTTACAATACTTGCTAAATGGAGAGAACAGAAAGGAGAGATCCAGAAGCCAAGGGTCCAGTTTTGCACATAATAAGGAGATGCTTGTCAAAGATTCCAAAACAAGTAATTTACCTTCTAAACCTTCCAAGAACCTGCTTCAACTTCAGCATTCTAGCTATAGTTCATCAAAAGGGCAGAGTCACAAAAGAGGTAGGTTTAAAGAAAGAAAAGCCTGCTGTGTAGTGGCGGCACCAGTACTCCCAGCTGCTTGGTGTGTGTCAGCAGGAGGCTCACGGGAGGCCAGCAGTTTGAGGCCAGCCTGAGTAATGTAGAGAGACCTCTGCCCTACCCAAAAAGGACTTCAATGTTAAATAAAATGCATTTAATATAATTGAAAGTGGCTATATACCTTAAGCAAAATATATTCATCTACATATTTGGGAAATGTAGCAGCTAAGAAAACTGATGGACGGGAAGTTAAACTACAAAACAACAGAAGCCAAACTTTGACATAAAATGTATCTTCAGGCCTGCGTTTTAATATTTCATGTAATTCATGCAGCCCATCTAACCATCATATTTCATGTAATTCATGCAGCACATCTAACCATCAGTCTCTGTGCTCATGCTGCCCATGAACGCTTTGTGTAGTGGTTCAAAATAAAGGTCTGAAAGTGAGACAAACTTAGTTTCAGACTTCAGTTCTGTGACTCTCTCAGATTTTTGTGATGAGAGAGCCTCTGTTCCCTCACCTGGGCTCTCACCCCAGAAGACCATTGCAAAATCACAGGAAACAGGGCCTGGGAGACGGCTCAGTAGAATAAGCGGCAAGCACAGGGTCTGAGTTCAATCCCCAGTTCCACCAAAAAATAAAAATAAAAAATAATAAAAAATGAATAAAAATAACAGGAAACAACCATCCAGCATACAGAAAATGTTCACTAAGTACTTAGATTCAAAGTTATAAAGCAGTTCTACCCAAAGCATGGTCTGAAAATCAGCAACACCATCATCAGGAGAGATGAAAATTCTCAGATCCTATCTCTGACCTACTCTGATACAGCCCAGAAATCCATTTTAACTTCTTTAGTGAGTCTTACACCAGATAAAACTTGGGAGGCAACACTGTAAGGAACCCAAAATGCAATCTAACTGAAATCCTTTGCTTTACAAAACAGTGAACTAAGAGCAAGTTGAGTGAAAGTCATCCAGTAGTCTTAGGACAGAGCTGATTTCAACTTCAATCTCTTCATCTAGAGACCTATTTTAGCAACACAAAATATATTTCCTTTTCAATCTGGAGGTATTAACTGTATAGTCATTAACACACCTGGTAAGGAAAAAAGATACAGGTCCATATGTAATATGATAAATGGAAGATTTGTGATGTTGCTGAAATCTTGATTTGCATGTGTTAAGAAAGAGTTAACATAGAGATGTGCTAAATACCCTGCAGGGCATGTGGAACTAGGAAAAAGAAAACAGGGCAGCAACAGCTGTGGGAGTAACCAACAACACTTGGAACTCAAGGACACCCTGTTTTTGTGTCCTTGCTCCCAGATGCCAAGTAGGTTCTCATGTACAGCCTAAACATTAATCTTGGACACATACGATGGGCTCTTGTTATGGTCACCTAAAGTAACCAAAAGGCTGCGACACAAGGTACATAAAAATAAAGACCAAAGGCAGGGCAGCAGCCTTTTGCTTGAGTCCTCACTTTCTTTGTGTTAAGTGTCCGTGTGTCTTTGTTTCTGGCCGGAACCCGTGAGTCCCTCCCAACAGGCATGATTTGTATTGGACTCCTAATAATATAGAGCAATAATTGGACATACAAATGCATTGACTTAGTTTCATTCTTTTTCATTTGCCATCAGTACTGTCAGCAAAAGCCATATGATGTTTACATGAATATCCTGTAAATTTTATTGTAAAATTATTCTAGAACAGTCTACCTATGTAGCTCAGTGGTAGAGGGTTTTACTACTTGCCTGCCATATGCAAAGCCCTAGGTTCATCCCGAGAACCACACAAACATGCATGCATACACACACACACACACACACACACACACACACACCTTCAGGAAAACCATGAAAGATTTGGGATCTTTTCTTTTTCAAAGAATTAGAATTGCACACTGACAAATACTATAAGCAAATCTCACGAATAACCAAATTCAGGCGTTCGGGCCTGCATTCACTCACCTGTCTGTGTCTCTAACTTCAAAACTTTCAGCAATCCATCTTCACCCCCGCAGGCTATGAAGCCTTGGTCCTTGTTCCACGATATACATTTCAGCTTCACACTATTGGGAATGGCAATCTGTAAGAGGAAGCACAGGCACACTAGCAATTCTGCATGAAGAGCTGGGAAGTCGGTGGACAGGAGAAGAAGACAGGAAAAAAATCCTCTAAAAAGAAAGACTGCAGAAAAAATGAGCTATTGTGACAATGACCATGATCCCCAAATGCCTCAGGCACGACTTCTGGAGAAACCGGGAGAGCAGGGAGGAGTCACATGATGGATTTGGGTGTGAAGGCACAAATCCACATCACCAGTCTGTGTTGCCTTTATCCACACAACACTCAGGCTATACCTTTCTTTTCCAGTCCGTTAACCGGCCCGCAGGCCACAGCCAAAGGCTTGCGGATCAGCAACATATGGAGGAGGAGAGACGCGACAGCACCTGCTGATGTGTCCTGCTGGTCACCAAAAGGACCTGGGGGGGGGGGGCAGGAAGGGAGCGTCGTGCGGGTTCTCTGGGGCCTGGGGACCAGCAGGAGGAGGCCCGAGGTTGGTCCAGGGGGACAGCCTAGCAGGGGTGGCGAGGCCGCCGCGCAGCGTCTGGGTTTCCCGGGGAAAAAAAAAAGCGGGGATCGCCTGAGGGTACGCGAGGGAGGTGCAGAGCGCCCCGCAAAACTCACTTTTTTGCTCAGGTAGAAAAACATCCTGAGAACCCCGAAAAGACTACGCGGAGGTGAAGGCCCGCAACTGGCGACCTGCGTCTCCTACAAGCTCAGGCAGCACGGTGAAGCTCGCGTCGCCCTAGCAACCGCCCAGCGGGCGCATCCGGGGCGCGGAGGAGCACTTCCGGTGTGGTCCGGGGCGCCTCGGGCGCCTGCGCGGTGAGGCGGGCGCGCTCGGGTCGGGGTCGGGGTCGGGGTCGGTCCCGCCGCGCTGAAGACCGGCGCGCCGCGCTGTGGTCGGTATCAGCTGGAAGGCTTGCGTCGCGGGGTGGCCACAGGGATATGGGGTTCGAGCCCCGCTGCCCCAGCCCTCTGGGAAAGATGAGTCGTGGTTGCGTTTGGGAGGCCAGGAGTGGGGATGCTGTCCGCTGCTGTGGTTGGAGAAGCAGCCCAAGTGCGCGGCAGCAGGCGCTTTCATTCTCTTTTGGAATTTTAAAAACTGTGCAACCTGGCACCGCCGCCTCGAGAGCCCTTCGGAAAGGGAGGTGTGTGGACTTCAGCCGTCTCAGCCGCGGTTGCTGTTGGAGCCCAGGGGACCGCTGTCAAGTTGCTCCGCTGGCGTAGACTTTTGTACACGTCCCTTCTCTTTCTACCTAAACGGGATTTGTCGCCCACTCACCCCGTACCGCCCCCCTTTGCCCTTTTTCAGTCCCTGGGAGTTACGGTGCCCCAGAATCGAAGACATGAGGCAGAAGTGCAAGTAGTGAATTTCTTCTGCAGATCGTCATTGATTACCTGGTCTCATCCATCCTTTTGTTTCTGGGTTCCCCTTGTTAGCAGGCCGAGGGCTCCCGTCGCTGACTGTGCTAGTGTGTACTTCAGGCGGCAGGTGCTTCCCCCACTTGCAGTCTTTCACCATTCAGCCAAATCCTTTGACCTGGGTCTGTTCTCTCACCCAGCGCATTCTAGGACTGGCAAATGTAAACTGTGTCTAAACCCGAGCTTCTCTCTACCCTCAAGTGTTCCTGGTGGGGCACCCCTAGCCTGAGTAAGCCCGACCCAGCCTTCCCTCTGGCTTTGCTTCCCAAGCCATCTTACAGACCTGAGGACATTCCCCCCCACTAAAAGGCGCCTTGGACCCAAACTGGCACAATTCAGATCTCCCAGGGTGCTTTGCAAACTTAACATCTATTCCATTCATTTCATACATTTTCAACTTTTTGTGTAACTTTTTCAGTATTAAACAGTAAATGCCCAAGACACACTGGCATCTGCTCATTAGCTACTCATGAAACACATCAGTGTTAATGTTTGGACAAGACTCAAGCTCATGGCCACACTCCCAAAAACTCATCTCTCTTTACTTTTCCCTCCATGTCTGTGAGATCTCACTTGTTTCTTTGTACCAGTATTTCTCTGTGAGATATATATATATATATATATATATATATATATATATATATATGCTGTGCTCAAATTTTGAAAATATTCCTGTAGCTATACATCATGTCTTTCCAAAAATTTTGAAAAGTAATAAATGTTTCATATGTAGTGTCTTCGTGTATTGACTTTTCACTTTTTTTTTCTTTTCTTCAGTTTTTTTGAGATAGGGTCTTGATGTGAATCCAGGCTGGCCTTGGACTCAGCAATCCTGCATCAGTTTCCCAGGTGTTGAAGTCAATAGACATCCACCACCATGCCCAGTTTAATTTTCACTTCTTTAAACTTGATATTTTATGTTGATAAGTTATATTTGCTTTTCACAAGTTTATATCAATGTTAAGCTCATAATTATTTTCTCTAAATTTAGATAACTGTATATTACTCTCTCTCCCTCAGCACACTTGATTAGATGAGATCAGGCACGTGCAAGGTGGCATGGCCTTAGACAGCATACTTGATTAAAGGCCCTTATCTCACCTGCACTACATGATTAGCCTCAAGAGTGAGATTATAATATGGGAAGAGTATCAACATTGTTTCCTTTAACTAGCAAGAAAATGCTATACATTCAAAATAATCATTCAGTTCAAAATAAGGAAATACATTAACTCACAAAACTTTGGCCATGAATCACCATAAAAGAGTCATGACACTGACATGTAAAGATAACTTTTTATTATATTAAGCTAATAACAAAAGGAACTGAGAGGTACACAATTTAAAGGGCTGTTCTGTTCCCAAAGTTTACCAACTGTAGAGCTAAGAAAAAATAAGTATATGTATCCAAATATATGAAAAATTAAACATTGCTATCATTAAGAAAGACAGTACTCAATTTTGTTTCTTCTTATACCAATTTTATACATATATAATTTTACTGCTTAGATCCTAAATGGAAATGACAAAATAAACTTAGGATTTTTTGTACTTGGTAGAAGTTGAACCCTAAATTTGCACCTAATGCCTCTATGGATTTCTAAGCCGAGAATGAACTTAAGATGGCATAGAATTCTCTGGATCTGTGCTGTTATTAGCTATGTGTCACAGTCTGATCACAGCTTCCATAATCAGAGTAAGAAATGAAGTTGCAGCTTTGTTTTCCTCTCAATTTAATTATATGAACTTTCTAAATGTAAATACTTTGTACAGTTTGCACTATCAGTAATAAAACTGGCATATAAATACAATCAAGAAAGAAGACCTAAAATTTCCAATGTGAATACCATTATCTTACTAATATAAATATTTAAAATTAAATGGCTCAATTAGTAGATAATAAAAGAAACATTATTTCTGTCATTGGTTGGGGTTTTTGAGACAGTCTTACTTTGTAGTTCAGGTTGGCCTTGTACTAACCACATAGCTGAGACTGTTTACAACTCAGCAGTAATCCTGCCTCAGCCTCCCAAGTGCTGAGATTACAGGCATATGCCACTGTACCCACCAATTGACATTAAATTTTTCATTCTATTTCCTACAAACCATTTCACAGTTATAGCTTAAAGACACTGAAGTTTACTTTTAAGGATCTGCACCTTTATTTCCTTGGAAAAATAATACTGGTTCTCCAGAAAAATCCTCATACTATATCCAGTAATATTCAAGCATTTACAATAGTGAAATATTAGCAGAAGCACTGAAGATACAAGTGCGCGAAAGAATGAATGTTACACTGAGCTCTCTAATTTCCGGGTGAGAATTTTAAGCAGCTTAACGATGTACTTGTCTATATTCATGGACTTGCAACTTCTCCAAAACGTCATCTAGTGGCTAAGTGTTAAGGTCAACACCGTTTACACACTTTAGAAGCATAAATGTAATTTTACAGCTTTTGACACAGGGGAAAAGAATCATGTCTTTTACTGTAGTTACTGTAAATTAAGAAAAACAGCAGAACTATTGCTCACCAAATATGTAACCTTCAGAAATTTTATTTTGAGAGATCCTGATAGTTAGATCACTGTAGCAAATATTTTTGCTCATATAAAATGTAAGGGAAAAGACATCTCTTAGTGGGGTGGGTGAGGAAAGCAATGTTTATGAAGTTGTAATTAAGGGAACTGTTGAACTGCCCTTTTGTTTGGCTCTGATTTTTCCAGGAAATACACTTAGTGGATTCACAGTGAGTGAGAATTATCCTTTTCTTGGGTAGTTAGGAAAATGTCAGTACCAAAATAGGAGATGAGAAAAGAGAAGCCTGACTCCAAGTGGTATCTTAAATGTGTGAAGAAATTAGAAATTAAAAAAAGAAAATCTGCATGCTCCTGGGATACACCTACGATAGTCTGGCTGCCACTTACCTAAGGTACGTGAGAACAGAATTATTCGCTTGAGCTGTGCTTCTTCCCTCATATAACTAAAGAACTGATTTTGAAGCTCACATTATAGTTTAAAATCTGTTTTCTGATTGCTTAGCTACTCAGTGTAGACCATTGTAATCTAAGCTGTCACAATTTATCAATCAGCTGACTTATTGTGTATAAATACAGACTCTAAACTAAGAGAACCCCCTTAAGGAATCATAGCATGCTCATTCCAACCATTGGGTAAGAATCAATGAGGAGAATTTGCTGGGGTGGAAAAGTACCAAGAAAAGAAATTGTGTGTAGATTTTACATGTGAATATTAAATATTGAGAGCAGTCTCTCATCTTTTTTTTTTCTTTTTCTTTTTTTTTTTTTG